ATTTTGGCCTCTTCGGCCTCTCCTGGTGGACCTCTTGGAGGCCTCTTGGGCCGTCTGGGAGGCCTCTGGGGGGCCTCTTGGGCCGTCTTGGGCCGTCTTGGACTCTCTTGGGCCATCTTGGAGGCAGTCTTGGACCATCTTGGGCGGACTTGGAGGCCATCTTGGACCATCTTGGAGGCCATCTTGGGCCAACGTGGCCATCTTGGAGGCCATCTTGAGCCGTCTAGGAGGATTTTTCCGGGAATTGGGCGATTTACGGGTGGCCGGCGGGTCGGGCCGAAGCCCATTGGGAGAGTTCTTTTGGAAAAAGAACCAAAACCAAAACCAATATAGTCTGGCACGCCAGGCACCCCTTTGCTAAAGCAAAAGGGGGCGGCGGATCTAACGGCCTTCGGCCCATCCCGTCGCCGTGCCTGGTTTGTGGGTATGACGTTGGGATCTCGTCTGGGGCCTCTCGGGGGGCCTCTTGGGGGGCCGCTTTGGAGCCTCTTGGGGCCTCCTTTAGGCCTCTTGGGGGCCTCTCGGGGCCTCTTGTGGGCTCCAATGCCCCCTCCGCGTCGCGCACCCTTGCTCTCAGCTTTGACTTTAGCGCGATCCGTAGCCATTTTGGCTCAAGCCTTTTAGGCTCAATCATTTTCAGGGAAGGTCAGGGTACGCGACAGGGATCCAGCAACAAGCATGACGTTTCTGAGTTTCAAGGACTCAGAGTTCTCGGGCGACCTCTACGAGATGTCAACATTTATGCATCCTCCTGCAGGCGGTTGGCTGTCCACTGCCGATTGCTTCGGCCGCGCGCTTCGTGTAGTTCTGGCTTTCTACGTATTGCTAGCCTCGCAGCCGCTTGAATTGTACAGCTTCCTTGTGAAGTATCATCAGGTCTTTCACTGGGGAGGTTGGATAGGATGGAGTCACCTGATCATGTTCGTCTCCTTGACAATGTGGCCCGGACTGGTTATCCTGCTCGTGTGCCACGAAAAACTGAAGACAGCGTTGAAGCCACCTTCGGAGGTCAACTGTTTTTTCGTGGAGCCTGAGAACTTCTTCGCGCGCTGCTTCTGGGCGTTTCAAATGGTGGGCTCAGTGCCTCTGGCCATTTTCATGACCCACGGCAACAGCACTGCTGCGATCGAGAATGCCTGGCATGACTACGTCCTGACCAAGCAGTTCTGGAGGAGGCATATGGAGAAGACCAACATGCCGTTCCCCCAGCAACTTGGTCAATGGGATGGGAGCAGTTGCGATTGGTGGTCACACGCCAAAGGGAAATCAGATGACTTCATCGTTGGGGATGTCGTGTTGAAGCTGATGGACGGATGCTTGGGTGCAGGGGACACTTTCCTGGAAGCTGGCAGGAATGGTTTTGATGGCACTTTGGGGGCAGTCTCAAGGGTGCTGAACGAGAAGTATGCATCAACCGTAGGAGTGCTTGTTCTGGAATGGGTTCGCCCAAAGTCTGGACACGAGGTGCACTCATTCGACATCGTCACCATGGTCATGCCGGACGACAGCATCCAGCTCGTGTCCTGCCTGTACTGGGGCAACTGCAGAGACGGAGGATCCAGCACGCACGATGCCATGGCGGGCTTCGTAGTCGACGTCGACGAGGAGAAGGTGCACTCAACGGCATCGTGGTACTCCGCCCTATTCGCCAAGAGCATGGGGGCGGGGCAGAGCGGTCTGGCCGGCCAAGGCACGGGGCACGGCGAGGTCGGTCTCGGCAGCCACTTCCCAGGCATCAAGGAGCTGTGCAAGCAGGCCATCAAGGGTCACGAGTCTGCGCTGCAGGAGACACCATGGTTGCACGTGGTGGGTTGGGATGCGATGTTCAGCACCTCAGGGCCCGTCTTCTTCGAGGGCAATTATGCATCGCATCGGATCCCCCGGCGCGTCTTCCTGACGTGGAGGAGCACCGTGTGGTTCCTCAGCAACAGCAAGCGCTTCAGCTTTCTCCAGTCACGGCGCAGGAAACACATCACCGTGTAGTTGTCTTGTAATGAACGTCGTCGAGGCGAAACACTCTGGTAAGAATGACTGACGGTTGACGCCATCAATCCGTGTATTGAATTTGCAGGTGTGTGCATGCGTGTGAATGTAGGTGATTGGGTTTTGTGCAGCCTGCCCAAGTACACTCGCCTTCGCACCGCGCTGACACCCTTCACAATCACTGTCTTTTTTTGTCGCGACAGGTGCGACGTCGCCGCCCAGGACGATGGGGGTCGAGCGAGCGCTGTGGATTCCACTGCCCGTCAGTCGGGGAGAATCTACTTTTTAAGGAGCATCGACTCCATCGCTGCTGCAGATCGTGCCGAAGCATGCTGCCAGCGAGGAACAAACATTATCAAACATTAGCCTGGCGAAGAACCCAACCATCTGCAGTTGTGAATACCGCAGTTGTGGGTATCGTCTTCCGAGGAGCTCCCTCTGGGGCCACGAAACGCTGTACTGGGCGGGGGTGGACGCATGCGGACTGCGCCACTGGGACCTTCGGTGGAGCTCCCCCTGGGGCCACGAAACGCTGTACTGGGTGGGGAGGGACGCATGCGGACTGCGCCACTGGGACCGTCGTCGGAGCCCCTTCTGGCGCCACGAAACGCTGCACTGGGCGGGAGGGAAGCATGCGAAATTGCGGAGGAGGGGGGAGGGAGGAGGGGGGGGGGGGCAGGAGGGAGGAAGGACCGGGGGGCGCTGCCTCTTCGGAACGAGGACCCAGCACTACAGGATGGTTGGGAGAATCGTTGAGACGGGAGTTCCGCGGGCTTCCAGACCCCCGGGCTCCCTGCCAAACGCTTCCGTGTCTCCGATGCCCCCACCGCATCGCGCGCCCCTGCCCTCAGCTTCGACTCTGGCGCGACGGCCGCGCCATCCACGCGCGGGGGGCCACGGGGGCCCAACCTCAAAGGGCGCGCGCCCCTGCCCTCAGCTTCGACTCTGGCGCGGCGGCCGCGCCTCCAACGCGCGGGAGGCCGCGGGGGCCCCCACCTCCGCGGGCCTGCCTCCGCGGGCCTGCCGTCCTCGGGCGGCGGGGACCTCCCGCGGGCCCGAGGGGCCCGCGCCGCGTGGCCGGGCCCGCGCTGCTGCGACCTCGCGGCCGTCGAGCGGGGCCGCGGCCCAGCCCGACGGCCTCGTGGGGGCACGAGCCGTGCGAGCTCGGGCCGCTGTCCTGGCCATCTGACGGCCTGCGGCCCATCCCGTCGCCGTGCGCGTTCGGGCCGCTGTCCTGGCCATCTGATGGCCTTCGGCCCATCCCGTCGCCGTGCCTGTGTTGTGGGTATGACGCACTGGGATCTCGTCCGAGGCCCCTCGGGGGCAGTCTTGGGGGGCAGTCTTGGGGGCCCCCATGGGGGGCCGCTCTGGAGCCTCTTAGGGGCCTCCTTTAGGCCTCTTGTTGGGGGCCTCTCGGGGCCTCTTGGGGTCTCCAGTGTCCCCACCGCGTCGCGCACCCTTGCTCTCAGCTTTGACCCCAGCGCGATCCGTAGCCATTTTGGCTCAAGCCTTTTAGGCTCAATCATTTTCAGGGAAGGTCAGGGCACGCGACAGGGATCCAGCAACAAGCATGAGGTTTATGAGTTTCAAGGACTCAGAGTTCTCGGGCGACCTCTACGAGATGTCAACATTTATGCATCCTCCTGCAGGCGGTTGGCTGTCCACTGCCGATTGCTTCGGCCGCGCGCTTCGTGTAGTTCTGGCTTTCTACGTATTGCTAGCCTCGCAGCCGCTTGAATTGTACAGCTTCCTTGTGAAATATCATCAGGTCTTTCACTGGGGAGGTTGGATAGGATGGAGTCATCTGATCATGTTCGTCTCCTTGACAATGTGGCCAGGACTGATTATCCTGCTCGTGTGCCACGAAAAACTGAAGACAGCGTTGAAGCCACCTTCGGAGGTCAACTGTTTTTTCGTGGAGCCTGAGAACTTCTTCGCGCGCTGCTTCTGGGCGTTTCAAATGGTGGGCTCAGTGCCTCTTGCCATTTTCATGACCCACGGCAACAGCACTGCTGCGATCGAGAATGCCTGGCATGACTACGTCCTGACCAAGCAGTTCTGGAGGAGGCATATGGAGAAGACCAACATGCCGTTCCCCCAGCAACTTGGTCAATGGGATGGGAGCAGTTGCGATTGGTGGTCACACGCCAAAGGGAAATCAGATGACTTCATCGGTGGGGATGTCGTGTTGAAGCTGATGGACGGATGCTTGGGTGCAGGGGACACTTTCCTGGAAGCTGGCAGGAATGGTTTTGATGGCACTTTGGGGGCAGTCTCAAGGGTGCTGAACGAGAAGTATGCATCAACCGTAGGAGTGCTTGTTCTGGAATGGGTTCGCCCAAAGTCTGGACACGAGGTGCACTCATTCGACATCGTCACCATGGTCATGCCGGACGACAGCATCCAGCTCGTGTCCTGCCTGTACTGGGGCAACTGCAGAGACGGAGGATCCAGCACGCACGATGCCATGGCGGGCTTCGTAGTCGACGTCGACGAGGAGAAGGTGCACTCAACGGCATCGTGGTACTCCGCCCTATTCGCCAAGAGCATGGGGGCGGGGCAGAGCGGTCTGGCCGGCCAAGGCACGGGGCACGGCGAGGTCGGTCTCGGCAGCCACTTCCCAGGCATCAAGGAGCTGTGCAAGCAGGCCATCAAGGGTCACGAGTCTGCGCTGCAGGAGACACCATGGTTGCACGTGGTGGGTTGGGATGCGATGTTCAGCACCTCAGGGCCCGTCTTCTTCGAGGGCAATTATGCATCGCATCGGATCCCCCGGCGCGTCTTCCTGACGTGGAGGAGCACCGTGTGGTTCCTCAGCAACAGCAAGCGCTTCAGCTTTCTCCAGTCACGGCGCAGGAAACACATCACCGTGTAGTTGTCTTGAAATGAACGTCGTCGAGGCGAAACACTCTGGTAAGAATGACTGACGGTTGACGCCATCAATCCGTGTATTGAATTTGCAGATGTGTGCATGCGTGTGAATGTAGGTGATTGTGATTGGGTTTTGTGCAGCCTGCCCAAGTACACTCGCCTTCGCACCGCGCTGACACCTTCACAATCACTGTCTTTTTTTGTCGCGACAGGTGCGACGTCGCCGCCCAGGACGATGGGGGTCGAGCGAGCGCTGTGGATTCCACTGCCCGTCAGTCGGGGAGAATCTACTTTTTAAGGAGCATCGACTCCATCGCTGCTGCAGATCGTGCCGAAGCATGCTGCCAGCGAGGAACAAACATTATCAAACATTAGCCTGGCGAAGAACCCAACCATCTGCAGTTGTGAATACCGCAGTTGTGGGTATCGTCTTCCGAGGAGCTCCCTCTGGGGCCACGAAACGCTGTACTGGGCGGGGGGGGACGCACGCGAACTGCGCCACTGGGACCTTCGGTGGAGCTCCCCCTGGGGCCACGAAACGCTGTACTGGGTGGGGAGGGACGCATGCGGACTGCGCCACTGGGACCGTCGTCGGAGCCCCTTCTGGCGCCACGAAACGCTGCACTGGGCGGGAGGGGCGCATGCGAAATTGCGGAGGAGGGGGGAGGGAGGAGGAGGAAGGACCGGGGGGCGCTGCCTCTTCGGAACGAGGACCCAGCACTACAGGATGGTTGGGAGAATCGTTGAGACGGGAGTTCCGCGGGCTTCCAGACCCCCGGGCTCCCTGCCAAACGCTTCCGTGTCTCCGATGCCCCCACCGCATCGCGCGCCCCTGCCCTCAGCTTCGACTCTGGCGCGACGGCCGCGCCATCCACGCGCGGGAGGCCACGGGGGCCCAACCTCAAAGGGCGCGCGCCCCTGCCCTCAGCTTCGACTCTGGCGCGGCGGCCGCGCCTCCAACGCGCGGGAGGCCGCGGGGGCCCCCACCTCCGCGGGCCTCCTCCGCGGGCCTGCCGTCCTCGGGCGGCGGGGACCTCCCGCGGGCCCGAGGGGCCCGCGCCGCGTGGCCGGGCCCGCGCTGCTGCGGCCTCGCGGCCGTCGAGCAGGGCCGCGGCCCAGCCCGACGGCCTCGTGGGGGCACGAGCCGTGCGAGCTCGGGCCGCTGTCCTGGCCATCTGACGGCCTGCGGCCCATCCCGTCGCCGTGCGCGTTCGGGCCGCTGTCCTGGCCATCTGATGGCCTTCGGCCCATCCCGTCGCCGTGCCTGGGTTGTGGGTATGACGCACTGGGATCTCGTCCGAGGCCCCTCGGGGGCAGTCTTGGGGGGCAGTCTTGGGGGCCCCCATGGGGGGCCGCTCTGGAGCCTCTTAGGGGCCTCCTTTAGGCCTCTTGTTGGGGGCCTCTCGGGGCCTCTTGGGGGCCTCTTGGGGCCTCCAGTGTCCCCACCGCGTCGCGCACCCTTGCTCTCAGCTTTGACCCCAGCGCGATCCGTAGCCATTTTGGCTCAAGCCTTTTAGGCTCAATCATTTTCAGGGAAGGTCAGGGCACGCGACAGGGATCCAGCAACAAGCATGAGGTTTATGAGTTTCAAGGACTCAGAGTTCTCGGGCGACCTCTACGAGATGTCAACATTTATGCATCCTCCTGCAGGCGGTTGGCTGTCCACTGCCGATTGCTTCGGCCGCGCGCTTCGTGTAGTTCTGGCTTTCTACGTATTGCTAGCCTCGCAGCCGCTTGAATTGTACAGCTTCCTTGTGAAGTATCATCAGGTCTTTCACTGGGGAGGTTGGATAGGATGGAGTCACCTGATCATGTTCGTCTCCTTGACAATGTGGCCAGGACTGGTTATCCTGCTCGTGTGCCACGAAAAACTGAAGACAGCGTTGAGGCCACCTTCGGAGGTCAACTGTTTTTTCGTGGAGCCTGAGAACTTCTTCGCGCGCTGCTTCTGGGCGTTTCAAATGGTGGGCTCAGTGCCTCTGGCCATTTTCATGACCCACGGCAACAGCACTGCTGCGATCGAGAATGCCTGGCATGACTACGTCCTGACCAAGCAGTTCTGGAGGAGGCATATGGAGAAGACCAACATGCCGTTCCCCCAGCAACTTGGTCAATGGGATGGGAGCAGTTGCGATTGGTGGTCACACGCCAAAGGGAAATCAGATGACTTCATCGTTGGGGATGTCGTGTTGAAGCTGATGGACGGATGCTTGGGTGCAGGGGACACTTTCCTGGAAGCTGGCAGGAATGGTTTTGATGGCACTTTGGGGGCAGTCTCAAGGGTGCTGAACGAGAAGTATGCATCAACCGTAGGAGTGCTTGTTCTGGAATGGGTTCGCCCAAAGTCTGGACACGAGGTGCACTCATTCGACATCGTCACCATGGTCATGCCAGACGACAGCATCCAGCTCGTGTCCTGCCTGTACTGGGGCAACTGCAGAGACGGAGGATCCAGCACGCACGATGCCATGGCGGGCTTCGTAGTCGACGTCGACGAGGAGAAGGTACACTCAACGGCATCGTGGTACTCCGCCCTATTCGCCAAGAGCATGGGGGCGGGGCAGAGCGGTCTGGCCGGCCAAGGCACGGGGCACGGCGAGGTCGGTCTCGGCAGCCACTTCCCAGGCATCAAGGAGCTGTGCAAGCAGGCCATCAAGGGTCACGAGTCTGCGCTGCAGGAGACACCATGGTTGCACGTGGTGGGTTGGGATGCGATGTTCAGCACCTCAGGGCCCGTCTTCTTCGAGGGCAATTATGCATCGCATCGGATCCCCCGGCGCGTCTTCCTGACGTGGAGGAGCACCGTGTGGTTTCTCAGCAACAGCAAGCGCTTCAGCTTTCTCCAGTCACGGCGCGGGAAACACATCACCGTGTAGTTGTCTTGTAGTGAACGTCGTCGAGGCGACACACTCTGGTAAGAATGACTGACGGTTGACGCCATCAATCCGTGTATTGAATTTGCAGATGTGTGCATGCGTGTGAATGTAGGTGATTGGGTTTTGTGCAGCCTGCCCAAGTACACTCGCCTTCGCACCGCGCTGACACCTTCACAATCACTGTCTTTTTTTGTCGCGACAGGTGCGACGTCGCCGCCCAGGACGATGGGGGTCGAGCGAGCGCTGTGGATTCCACTGCCCGTCAGTCGGGGAGAATCTACTTTTTAAGGAGCATCGACTCCATCGCTGCTGCAGATCGTGCCGAAGCATGCTGCCAGCGAGGAACAAACATTATCAAACATTAGCCTGGCGAAGAACCCAACCATCTGCAGTTGAGAATACCGCAGTTGTGGGCATCGTCTTCCGAGGAGCTCCCTCTGGAACCGCGAAGCGCTGTGCTGGGCGGGGGGGGGGCGCATGCGAACTGCGCCACTGGGACCTTCGGTGGAGCTCCCCCTGGGGCCACGAAGCGCTGTACTGGGTGGGGAGGGACGCATGCGGACTGCGCCACTGGGACCGTCGTCGGAGCCCCTTCTGGAGCCACGAAACGCTGCACTGGGCGGGAGGGACGCATGCGAAATTGCGGAGGAGGGGGGAGGGAGGAGGGGGGGGGGAAAGGCAGGAGGGAGAAAAAGGACCGGGGGGCGCTGCCTCTCGAGAGCGAGGGCCCAGCACCGCAGGGTGGCTGGGAGAACCGTCGAGACGGGAGTTCCGCGGGCTTCCAGGCCCCCGGGCTCCCTGGCCCAACGCTTCCGTAGATCCGATGCCCCCCCCTCGTATCGCGCGCCCCTGCCCTCGGCTTCGGCTCTGGCGCGGCGGCCGTGGCCTCCAACGCGCGGGAGGCCACGGGGGCCCAATCTCAAAGGGCGCGCGCCCCTGCCCTCAGCTTCGGCTCTGGCGCGACGGCCGTGGCCTCCAACGCGCGGGAGGCCGCGGGGGGCCCCCACCTCCGCGGGCCTGCCTCCGCGGGCCTGCCGTCCTCGGGCGGCGGGGACCTCCCGCGGGCCCGAGGGGCCCGCGCCGCGTGGCCGGGCCCGCGCTGCTGCGGCCTCGCGGCCGTCGAGCAGGGCCGCGGCCCAGCCCGACGGCCTCGTGGGGGCACGAGCCGTGCGAGCTCGGGCCGCTGTCCTGGCCATCTGACGGCCTGCGGCCCATCCCGTCGCCGTGCGCGTTCGGACCGCTGTCCTGGCCATCTGATGGCCTTCGGCCCATCCCGTCGCCGTGCCTGGGTTGTGGGTATGACGCACTGGGATCTCGTCCGAGGCCCCTCGGGGGCAGTCTTGGGGGGCAGTCTTGGGGGCCCCCATGGGGGGCCGCTCTGGAGCCTCTTAGGGGCCTCCTTTAGGCCTCTTGTTGGGGGCCTCTCGGGGCCTCTTGGGGGCCTCTTGGGGCCTCCAGTGTCCCCACCGCGTCGCGCACCCTTGCTCTCAGCTTTGACCCCAGCGCGATCCGTAGCCATTTTGGCTCAAGCCTTTTAGGCTCAATCATTTTCAGGGAAGGTCAGGGCACGCGACAGGGATCCAGCAACAAGCATGAGGTTTATGAGTTTCAAGGACTCAGAGTTCTCGGGCGACCTCTACGAGATGTCAACATTTATGCATCCTCCTGCAGGCGGTTGGCTGTCCACTGCCGATTGCTTCGGCCGCGCGCTTCGTGTAGTTCTGGCTTTCTACGTATTGCTAGCCTCGCAGCCGCTTGAATTGTACAGCTTCCTTGTGAAGTATCATCAGGTCTTTCACTGGGGAGGTTGGATAGGATGGAGTCACCTGATCATGTTCGTCTCCTTGACAATGTGGCCCGGACTGATTATCCTGCTCGTGTGCCACGAAAAACTGAAGACAGCGTTGAAGCCACCTTCGGAGGTCAACTGTTTTTTCGTGGAGCCTGAGAACTTCTTCGCGCGCTGCTTCTGGGCGTTTCAAATGGTGGGCTCAGTGCCTCTGGCCATTTTCATGACCCACGGCAACAGCACTGCTGCGATCGAGAATGCCTGGCATGACTACGTCCTGACCAAGCAGTTCTGGAGGAGGCATATGGAGAAGACCAACATGCCGTTCCCCCAGCAACTTGGTCAATGGGATGGGAGCAGTTGCGATTGGTGGTCACACGCCAAAGGGAAATCAGATGACTTCATCGTTGGGGATGTCGTGTTGAAGCTGATGGACGGATGCTTGGGTGCAGGGGACACTTTCCTGGAAGCTGGCAGGAATGGTTTTGATGGCACTTTGGGGGCAGTCTCAAGGGTGCTGAACGAGAAATATGCATCAACCGTAGGAGTGCTTGTTCTGGAATGGGTTCGCCCAAAGTCTGGACACGAGGTGCACTCATTCGACATCGTCACCATGGTCATGCCGGACGACAGCATCCAGCTCGTGTCCTGCCTGTACTGGGGCAACTGCAGAGACGGAGGATCCAGCACGCACGATGCCATGGCGGGCTTCGTAGTCGACGTCGA